GTCAAGAAAATTGATGACATAATTACAAAAGGCGATAGAGATAATCCATTCGAATAAACAAAATGCTCCGAAATCAATTAGAAGTCTCGTGTGGCGAGCTCCTCCCACTCCCGGATTCTGGAAATTTTCTGACCGTTCATCGGCACAAGCGTGTTGGACAAGGCTTGCACGTGCACGAGTGGGCCCGGCATCTGTTGGCAACATTTTTTGGGGTCAACAATACCTATTGATACAAGTTTATGTAAACACGTCTAACACATTAAAATTGACAACCACTAAAATAAGAGAAAAAGGTAAATCGAACTTTTTAACTCTTATCATGTGAAAAAACTAAAAAGTGTCAACTTGATGATGTTTTAGAGAAACAAAGGCTATGGTTTTCTTTAGATTCCAATAACTTTTGTACCTCTCTTTGAAGTAAAGAAAACAAACAAATGTGAAAATGTTTCATTGGGACACAATCAACCCACTAGTTCTTTGATATCTCCTATTCTTTTACACATAGAAAACAAAAAACATTGTAACATGTCAAGGACATTTTTGAGTCACAATATAACTGTTAGAATCATATAATTCCAGACTAATCAAATTTACTTTTTCTTTAACCTTAGACGATTACAATGTAAACTAGTCAATGTCAGCTTTGTGAAATGACCAAATGTCCTTAGATTGGACTTTGTCCCGAGCAAATTACTTCATAAGGACGGAAGTATTGAGAGAAAATGAGAAAAAGAAAGATTTTCTAGAATTTTCTTGAAAGTAACGTCTTTAACAACGCGTATTTTTATATGACTTTCCACTCTATAGGCAACTCATCGTTTAAACGGTCAATACTTCATCCAATGGAGTAACTCTTCTAGAAAATACTACTTTTGATTTAGAGACGATCATCATTAATGTGATTCATTAATAGTTTTTGTTTATTTCAATTATATTCTTCACTTTTTACTTGAAACGAGACATTATGTAGCGAATTCATAGAATAAAGGTGACTGTTTTTCCTCTCATTTTGGAATGTCTATGAGATGAATGAACACCACAAACTAAAAATTGCAGGATTCTCTTGCCTTTGGCAAAAGAAAGATTCACACAGCATCATTTCTCTTAAGAAATGATTACAAATCTTGTAGAATATTTATGCATATAGCACAAATAAGCCAATGCCAACATGATCAGAACAAAAGGTATTCTGTCAAAATATATGGTTGGTTATATGTAAGAGGTCTTCCATCTTGTATATTCTATTTGGGAAGAATTTATAAACGCGTTAATTTATAAATAAATAGAAATAAATGATAGATAGGTGAATTTATTGAAATGTGTAGTTGAAAATAAAATTTGACCATTTATAAATTAGACAAACAGAGGCTAAAATTTAGCAAAATGGGTGCCACTATCGCAGCCCGAATCCAGCCACGAAAATGAAAAGCATTATAAAATATTGTCTTTTTATTTTTTTTGGCTTTCCACTTTTTGTATTGGGCTCGTCTTTAGGGTGCGGTCAAGGTGGTATAGAGAATTATCTAGAACATTTTTGACATTCAGTGTACTTGTTAGAGATTCTAAACAATGCTATTTATAGCATATGGAGGTACTATTCGTGTTCGAGTATAATATGATGTGTCAAAACGATAAAATTGTATACGAATTTGGTCGTTGATGCGTATGCACTCACAGAAACATCACCTAGGGTTTCTCTATCTTCCTTTTCCTTTTAGTTATGAACACTCTTAATGGCATTGTGATAGCATGTGGCCAACCATGCTCTTGTATCACATGAATGTAAAGAAGGGTGTCTCCTTTCTTTATATTTTTTTACTGAATTACTAAAACATAAAGCCTTAATTGAATAAGAGTAGTATATTTTCTTTTTTCTTTTATGGTAGTTGGGGTAGTCGGGGTGTGTGGGTGGGTGTGAACCATTATTGCTACTACAATAAAACAGCAAATCCAATGATATAAACAAAAAATTTGTACACTTTCATCTCCAAACTCTAAAATATTTGATTTTGATGTCGAAGTTACGATGATATTTTGATCCTCTTCGTGACAAGGTGGCAAACAGATGGACAAATTCTATTGAGCCAAAGCTTTAATCGTTTTTTTTTTTTTTTAAATAAATTTGGTAATAAAACATATAACAGAAAAATATTAGTAGAACCATTTTTAATTTAGAGTTGATTAGACGAATTATTTTTTGTCGTTCTGTTTATTCTTTGATGCTATATTGATTAAATGTGGTAACACGGGTGAAAAAGAACGAAAGAGGAGAATCATTTTCCATTATCGACTAGACAAATAATTTCCAACCGTTCTATTTATTCATTAATAGAATGTGGGAACAAGGGGTGATAAGGAAAGAGAGGAGATGTTTGAAATGGTGGATGTTAGTGAGATCGATAATGATGGATTTCTATTTAGAGTTGACTCTTGTTGATCATAACTTGGGTGACACCTAAGATTTTTCCATCGGTGATTGTCAAGACTTTGTCATCGGCAATTGTTTAACGATTGCATATATCATAGAATCCCTATCTTCTACCTAGATTTTCAATTTTTATTATTTAGTCTAAACTAATAATTTACCTCTCAATTCATTATCATTAGCACATAAATCAATTATCGGCCAGATGATTAATTACTTAAAGTTCAAAGAGAAAAACAATTCACAATATCAAAGTCATCAACAATCGAGTTCATACTTAGGCAACATCATTTGTCATAACTAAGAAATTTTATTTTTAATTTTTTTAAAATTATTTAAGTGGAATATGTTTGTACTTTTTTGAATATTTGGAATTTTAGATGCATTTTCTTTTCTTTTCTTTCTTTTTATTTATTTAAAAATAAGTGTAAATTCATTATTTTACAATACTTTAATGAGAAATGGATGGCAAGGACGATTTGTACCAAAATTTGCTTATTATGAGGGTGACATACGTCACAATAAAATGATATGGACGGTTTGAGCAAAACAGACAAACAATGTGGACATTTTGTGCCAACTACCCTTAAAAAGAAAATATTTATGTATATTTTGCCTTTTAATTAATTACTTTATATTGAGTAAGCAATGAATAAATTGTTTTGCTATGTTTTTTGCTTTAGTAAGTTTATTTAAAAGAAAATTATTATGACATTTATAATAATTAATTAATTTTGCATAAACAACATGGCACAATTGTTAAATTGTTTGTCCCTCATAATTAAATAAACAATTTTCAACTAGATGTCTTTGTTATTTTAAAATTTACACAACAGCCACAAATTAACCATTGCTAATTTGTTAAAGGGATAAATTTTATGTTGGCTAATTATCGAAATATAAATCAATGTATAAAAAATTATCTTACTCATTTTAATAAAGTTGATATTTTATGACAGAACCTTGAGTTTTAATATGATATTAAAGTCCATTACTTTCAAACGAACAGCTTGATTCGATTAAAACAAAAAAAAAAACGAGAACATGAATTTCAATATTGATCTACTCAAATGAGTCATCATCTTACGAAACATGTTAAGAATAAATTTCACATCGAGTAACTACCGAAATATAAAGAAATTTAGACTATTTTAATAACGTTGACATTTTAAATTTGAATCCAAATCTAAATAAAGGTGAATGAAGAAAAGAGTTATAAAAAAAATGCATTTTAAAATCAAACCGAACAATTTTTTTAAAATCAATTTAATTTCAATTTACAATTTTACCAAACCCTTATGTTTACTTTGAAAATCTATAATATACTATATTAAAATATCACATCAAGTGAAAATAATTTTTTGGTCAATTTTAATCATACTACAATTCAATTATTTCAATAATACATTATTTTT